GAAAATATGGTTCATGGATCATTAATTAAAGAATATAATAAAGCTCTGGTGGCATATGGTCGAACATATCTCTCCAGCCTAAGAGTTGAATTAATAAATAAAATCTCAAAATAAAATGAGATCTTCTGTGTTGGCAATGTCAAAGAACATGAAGAAGACAATCTCGAAAGCAAAAAGGAACATGAAGAACATTACAATCTCACATTTTGCGACAAGCTCATTAAAATCCCACTGCCTATATATGTGATTTGCTCAATTTTCATATGCATGTTGCGCATAACAATTGTAGCGGGGTGTGGGACTTGGGGCTCTTGCGGCGTTCATGACTCAGATTAGGAATGTGAAAAGTAACTGGGTTGTGGCAAGAAAAAGAAAAAAGAATTCGGTTGGCAGTGAGCATATATCTGCAAATATATGTTTACAAAAAACTTGAGTAAGGTGAATTCAAACTAGAAACAAAAAAAATAAACAGAAGTTTCTTTAGAAACACAGTACAGATGCATGCACTGAGAAACACGTACATACTCCTATTTTTAGAATATAAAAGGTTAGATTATTCAGTACCAATGTATCAACAAAACATTTAAAAGTACTTTGAGTTTTGATTTCGAAAAGTGTATCCGGGGCTAAATTCACAAACTGAGAATTATGCATGCATGTAAAAGGACCAGTACCTTTGCCTCGGAGAATAGCAACATGAAGTGCATTTTGACCATTTGGACCGCAATGATTTTATCGTCGAACAAGACAGCAAGGTACATAGGTCTCTGGGGATGCTGGCCAATTCTGGGTCCTCCTCCATGAGCTGCTTGACTATGCCATTGTTCCGGATGCGGACAGCCTCGTGCAGAGCCGTCTCACCAAGCTTGTTTTCCATTTCGAGCAATGCCTTGGCTCTGCCAACATTTTTACCAAAACCTATGAGGATAGAGACCATTTGGGAGTTCCCGGCCCTCGCAGCACAGTGGAGGGGCGTATCTTTCTTGTTGTTCTGCACGAATAGCAGCTCCTTGGCCTTGGAGTGCATGTGGTGTCCCCTTCGATGGTGACCTCCTTCAGGAGCGACGGCTCCCAAAGACACGCTTCTTCCGGGTCTTTCCAAGAACCAGAGCATGCCGACGCTAGCAGCATGGGATTCATGGCGGCCGGGAGAGGCGTCGCCGTGGAGGCCTGGTTGATTGGGGTACGCTGGTTGCTTGGGTTCATTGCCGCCTATGTTTGCTTCATCCTTCAACTGGTCACAGCTTGGCGTGCATGCGTATATATGGCCAATAGGGCGCTCTTATTACGCTAGCTTTTAGCAGCAATCATGCATGCACACATGCAACAACCACTTTGACTAGTAATAAATCTTGTAATTACAAAACCAAAGAAGACAAAACTGGAAAGCCACAAAGGAGAAGAAATGTAGCAAAAAACTGCACGGCTATCCTAGGAGCGCTACTAAACGAGCGTGTGTACATGGTTAGTCAAGCTAGACAAAAGGTTCAGCAGAAAATATTGAACCAGAAATGATAACAAACTGCACGTGTAACATGATTGGTATGCATGCATGTCACCAAACGGCCGGATGGTATTATCTTAGGACGATGATTGTACACATGCATGCAGTGCAGGGTACCAGGAAGCGAGCCGGTTTGTTCATGCATGGTGGCAGGGCTGGAAAAGGTGTCAAAGCTACTAAGTAATGTTTCGGACTACCAACTGTTGTCAGTTTTGGAATTGATCAGCTACTATTTCTCTTATCAGAAAGCCACATTTTATCAAGCTGGGGAAAACCAAAAGGCGGTATATATGAAAGATTATTTATTTTCAATAGCCAAAAAAAAAAGAAAAAGAACATCTAGAACTACAAGGGAGATGTCCCGATAATTGTGAGAGTCTTGCTCCTTCCACATGTTCCATGATACATGCATGTCGGTATCTTGCTACGACACGTCTAAGTTTTATATGTTCATATTCCACAATAATCCTCAAGCCTAAAGTATATGTGGGGATGGAGAGCTAACTCAGATTGCTGAAGCGAAATACTTCAGTGTATTTGTGGGGATGATGGTTTCTTTTTGACAATGTTGTTGATGCCAACACTCCAGTGTAGACAAGGAGTTCCAATATATTGAGTGAAGATGGACATTGTTGAAGCAAAATTCAAAGTGAGTAGGGTGAGTAGGCGACACGAAAACCCGTTGAATGACTTCAAATGAACCGCGAGGGGCCAAGGGCAAGACACACAATGTAACCAGCTTCAAGCCACAATAGGTGTAAGAAGCCCCTACTCGCACGGGATTACAATAGTGGATGGAGAGACTAACCTACACGGGATGTATACTGCATATGGTGATGGTGCTCCGCGAGATTGATGTAATGGCCGTGCGTCTCGCGTGGAAGGGTTTGCTGTGGCCGGTAGGCTCTTGGTCAGAGTTTTCTTCTTCCCCGTTGCCTCCAACTATTTAAATATGCTCCTTGTTGGGCTAAATTTTTTGCAATGAAACCTTGTTGAAAAGTACTTGCCAATTCCTTTTGCTCCTCGCTGGGTCTGGCACTCTTAGTATCGAAAAGGCTACAATAGATCCCTTATTCTTGTGTGTCATCATCAGCCGTGTCCGGCAACATTTTTAAGCCCAGAACAAAGGAAGGCAGTATGAACGTGAGCATCGAAGTGACTTGAGCATAGCTGTATGAACGTGCGCATTGAAGAGACGTCTAGATTCTTTTATAATCCTAGTGCACTAATCTCACGTCTTTTCTCATTATCAAATGAAATGAGAAAATGTCTTATGTGTAGTAGTAGATGTTCAAATTTATTATAAATACTCCCCGCAAAAAATATTAGAAAATTTGCTTTATTTTACACATCACGTTTGCTTATCGGATTTTATTTACTATACTTGTGAGTGTAATGATAGCTCCAGCTTGAATAATCTTTTCCATATTAAAAATACTAAAAAATCCCATGAAATTAGCAATATCACAATCTAGATTAAATGATTTTGCATTGAGAAAAAAGTCTTCATAGGTTTTATGCTTAGTGGACGCCATAATAATCAACAATTTACCTTTTATGTCTGGCATTTATCTTTAGTTGACATGCGAAAAAGGTGTTTCTATATTTGTTTTTGCATATAAGAGGCCCTCATTGATATTTTGTGCTAGCCCCCTGG